ACACTGAAACCCCAACCCCTCTCCCTCCTGCCAGCACAAACAAGCACCTCTAACTTCAGACGTTACAGGCTGTTATATGCAAACATTTGCAATTACCCTCTCGTGAGGCAGAATATTTTTCCAGACTTTCTCTGAGCTTCCACGGAAATCACTTTGGTGATGATGCTCCTTCTCTGATGACACTCATCAACGAGCTAGATTGACCTGCTAGACCTTTCCGTAATGGGAGTCCTCATGTCCAACCAAGCCCACGAGACGCACGGTTCCAGTGCTTCACAAGGTTTCGCAGGACGGTAACCTTATGGCGTAGTACCTGGAAACAAGAGTTCCAGCTCTTGCATTGGCTGGAATTAGCACAGAGCGTGATCCGTTACAGGGGAAGGGAGACAGGGAGTCCCCCACTCCACTCCCTTCCATACCTGATGGAGGAAACAGGACCCCACTTGTCTCAAATCTGAGCAATTTCCCTTGACAGGAATCAGTCACAACCTGGGCTCAAAGCTCAAAATACCCCACACTCCCCCGCAGCAGACAGTGCGTTTCCCAACATCACAAAACACAGGCTCTCCTGAAGACAACACTGCAACTATGGGAAAAATCACCCTCGGGGTCAAGGGACAGGATGCAACCACAAACCAAACATGTTTTAAGTGTATTTTTATGAGCAGAAATAGGCTTATCACAAGTTTGCCGCGTGAAGAGGTGAATTCCCTGTGCCATCGTGGACGAGACCAGTCTCTTGGAGCACACTTGAGACCAGCATTGGCTTTCTGACCAGCAAGCCACTCCAGGGAATGTGGGGCTCAAAAAAGCAGTAATAAAACACTCCTGGTGGCTCACCCACTGAATCCCGAGGAACCCAATTCAGGAGAAGGGAAGGGGCTCAGGTGAGCTGCTGGCTGCTGAGCTGAAGGGCTGACACAACTCCATCCCAAACAGTGCTCTTCCAGCCCCACACGTCCCCTTCCACAGAAGGAATTATCGCAGGTTATTGGCAATACTAGAAAATAAAGAGCCAGACCTTGAAGACCTCATTCAGGCCAAGCCTTCTTTGGATATGCAGAAAGGAGCAGGGAAGAAGCAAGCTAGAGCCTCCAGTTCGAGGTAAGGACTCTGTCCTCTGTGCCACTGGCTGCAATCCATGACCTAGCAAACAGTGTGGCATCTACACACGTCTGCAGCTTTACACATACTCTGTCGTCTTCCCTCTCTCTCAGCTGATTCAGTGGTAGCAAAAATGACAGCCCATTACTGATGGCACACAGGGAAAACTGATCCACAGGCTTTGCTGATCCACAGGCATCTCAAACTTCCCTAGAGTCAGTCTAGGATGCAGTGGGGAGTTTATACTATAGGCCAGGACTGGACAGAGAAGTCATTTCAGGTAAGAGGGCTGCAAAGTAGCTCTTGGTTTCATTTTTTGGTTGGTTGGTTGGTTTTTTTTGTTTTCATTTCACTTTCTCAAGTGCATTCTCTCCCAGAATTGGGCTGTTTAGCGCACATACCGTTACCTAAATCCCTTACTCTCGCCATTGAAGTAATTCTGCTTTCTGTGACTGCTTGGAGCAGGCTACTCACACACTTAACAGGGCACAACCCAAGGCTGCCCCTTCTCTTGGTCCTGCCAATGAATGGTTTGCATTCAATGGTTTGCATGCAACCCACCCAGAAAAAAAACCCTCCAGGCTCAGAGCCCCAGAAGGACTTCAGGTGAGGCCTTACACCATCCCTCCACTCCCCCAGAGTTCCTCCCGCACCCCAGAGCCTTGGCCCTTTGTTTGGAGGTCCAGCCACGTGGTTTTCACACATTTCTGCCTCACTTGGCAGGCTTTCATTAAAGCCTCAACGTCTAGTTGTTGGTCTTCCGTTGTATCTCCAAGGTAACTTCATTCATTTGTTGTCAGCTCTTGACAGCTCACTTTTACCAGCCCGACAGGCCCTGACTAACAGCCATCTTTTACTCACTCACACAGAGGAAAATAACCCTTTCCACCCTGCAGCAGGAAGTAGGTAGGCAAACTGAGTCAAACCAAGAAATTGCTCACAATCCATAGAAAAGTTTGGGTTTTTTGAGGCGCCTCCAGTGCTCACAGAAAGCATCCATTGGGCATTAAGCGCGTTCTCCCAAATCTCCGCATGTCTGTTCACACACGCCCATCCATTTGCTGATGCACATCTTCAAAACTTCTTCCTACCTATTTAGTATACTAGTGAACTTAACGATATCCTGCAACAGGGAGTTTCATGGGAAAATGATACCTTGCAGAAGCAACCAGTTCTTTTTCCAGAGTCAGGCTTGGGAGTTTTTCATTCCTGTCCTTCACTGCTTTCAAGGCAGCTTGGAGTAAACAAAACAAATATTGAAAATCTGATTGAAGTGACTTTTATCCTGCCACACAAAGGGAAACAGCTGGTTGTTGAGTACCTTAAAGACGTTTTAGAGGCCTGTGCAACTCTGAGGAAGAAAAGCAAAGAGTCAGTGGAAAGTCTCGTCTAAGCTTAGATTTGTTGGGATGTGCTGCGCTTTCCCTGTGCATGCGAGTGTGGTAACAAGAGTCTTTCACTACATTCTTCCATGGTCAAATCATCCAAAGTAATTTTGCAATAGTGCAGAGTCAATATAATTTATAGCAAAAAGGAGAAGCTTGATGTCAGTTTATGTTTGCCCAAATCCTGTTTTCATTGGGCAATTATCGTTTCAGTGGAAAAGATTCCAAACATCTTCAGTTTTCTGGAGCAACGCCAAGCTGTTGTATAATGGCAGGGTAATTTTAAACCTATAATTTAGAAAGACCATTTCTGTCTGAATCCATCCTTCAAAAAGCTAACCTTGGAGAGTTACATTTGAATTTTCCAGGCAAAATACCTGATTTGTTTTCAAAAATAGATGGCCACAGAGAAGTCACGGGGCAGGCTTGCAAAAGCAGGTGCTGCTTGAGCCATGCCTGCCGATGCCAGCAAGA